GGGATCCACTCCAAATTATCTCTCTGTGGCAGATAATTTTTTCTGCCTTTAAAGTGGAAATGTTTTCCCCTTAAAATAAAAGGTCTTTATACTAAAATTTTATCAAAATTAAACTCCTTTTTTAAGTTTAATTTCTTATCAACAAACAATTCAAAACTTTTTTTTGTTTACATCATTAATTAATCATATGTTGATACATGATTGAATTTATGCAGTTATTATTATTATTATTATAATATTATTTAATAATATGATAATTATGATAAAGCCAATGTCTTCCCTAAAGTAAAGTGTTAATTAAAATTCATTAAATTAACCGTGAGCTTCTTAGTGTATTTTGATTATTTATGATAGAGTTAATATTTATTCATTAAAAAGAGTATACTTAGATTTTAGTTTATTAAAAAAATGAGAAAAAAATAATTAATTGGACTGAATTTGTTCTTTTATTACAAGTAAATAGATCAGATTGGAATTTTTTCTTCAAAATCCAACCAAACTAAACCACAAATTACCCTAATTAAATCTAATCCCAAATAACATATATATGATGTAATTCAACGCCAGTACCTTACACTTCAATACTTCATGGCCATGTTCCTATGTTGGAAAGCATAAAAGAATAGTGGTTGGCTTCTATCCAAGGACTCAAGTAACATGGCTGGGGAACACTTGGTCTCTAAGATGTCTTAATTTGTTGGATCTTAATTTTATTTCCAAATCATATAATCTAAAACCCAAAATAGCAAACATGTTGAATCATTTGCCAAGTGCTGAAATGCAACGTGACAGCATAAACCAAAGTACTGTATTTTTTTATTTCCCAGTGTTAGAGCAAAAAAAAAAAAAAAAAACTCTTTGGAAGAGCTAACTGCGCCACACCATAATATGGATGTTCTTGATTCGAATAGAATTGTCTCCTGTATAGGATATTTATGTTTTATCCACACAAAAAATCACTTTATGAAAAGTATGATAATGTACATGAAATAATCAAACCATGAGCCTAACAACATATATATATTTTAACTGATTCTAATGACAAGAATTGAAAAAGAAGAAAACGAAATTAATTATATTATCTCCAAATTAAAGTTGCTAATTTGGTATGTCTCCAATATCTCGTAGCTAGGTATTTGTGTAGACATCATATGCGCTGCAGCATCTATTTGTGGGGCGGAAGCATAAATGAAACTATAATTTTAATTTTCTTGCCTTAGCGGTACCTATCTACAGATTTACAGAATTCTAGTCTATAAAGCCTACTCAGATAGGATATAAAGATAGAAATCCGAGACAACAACACACATATATGATGTGTTAATTTGGAAGGCTTTTGGAGACATCATTGATCACTAGGTTTTTATATTTTAATTCAAATCTTAAAATTTTTATTAATAGTGGGACGTGGACTCTTGAATGATGCTTAATATTAAACTATTTCATGTAAAAGAAGATTAAAAAGAAGAATGCCTTATTAGAATCCTCTTTTGCCATCTGTATCTAAAATAAAAGAGCTCAATGATAAACATGTAAACTTTTTCAAGCGTTGACAAGTTTGTTATACAAGGATGATACACAAGTGAATGTTCCTGATTATCATTGTCTTCTAGGTAATAGTGGTATATTTTGTACATAGGAAATTGTGGATGTGCTTGATCCCAGATTTAATCATGAAGATTAAAATAGTCTTTTGTAAGAGAATAGAAGAACTATGTGACATTAAATAATTAACATTAAATATATACAGATCGATTGTTTTTGTTTTTTATTTTTTATTTTTGTTTGTTTTGATTAAAAATAATATTAGTTGAAGAAGAGAAAGGAGAGAGAGAATATGAGATGTTAGCGGGAAGCACATACTAGCACATGGGAACAGGGGAGCATGTGGAGAAGATCCAGAGCACTTTGATGAATTAATTTATGGGATAAAGAGGAACAAGGAATAACATGGTCTCACCCTATTCCAATGGGCTTACCCCAAAAACATGCAATAAAGGGTTTCATTTGCAAAGAGCTTTGGTGGAGGCAAAGCTATAGAGGTACACCTGGTGGGGTCCATGCCCTAATGATACCCCATTATGCACCAAACCTTCCTTTTCCTTTCATTCCACCACCACAGAAATCAATGTGTAACTGTGAGAGAGCAGAAGAGGCTAGCTGGTGCAAGATTCCTCTCAGTTTCCCCATGATATGCTTAACATTGGAAGAGTGAAAGCAACCAATGATTTCTCCATCATTGGATAAAAGAGTACACATTCTATATATCCCATTACCATACAACTTTTTTCATTCAACATATAAATGTATATCCTTTTGCTCCTTCGTCCTTGTAAATTTCCAATGCATGATAAAAAAAATAGAAAAAAGTGTTTGTCGTTTTAAATGACACAACTTGTGTCATTTTACTTTCATAAAAAGGTGGGACCCACACCTTTATATTTTTTTGTCCACTCTCTCCTCCTTTATTTATTTCTTTCTCTCACTTAAAATGACATAACTTTATATCCTTTAAAATGATACACACTTTTCCCAAAAAAATATGCCCCCACTTTGATTTTAGATATCATTCAAGATGCATTTTCTTCCCATATAGGAATGATTCGTTTATAATTTTTTTTTTATAAATTACATTATGTACTCCCAAAAATACGTACTGTAACCTAGTGTACTTCCGGAAGTACATAGTGTAGTGTTGGAAATCGACAATCACACAAAATCAACAAAACAGAAAAGAGAAGAGAGAAGAGAGATTGACACAGTGATTTACCCTGGTTTATCCAATTTAGGCTACGTCAAACTTGTCTGTACTATATTCACATCACCGCCGCTCGTTACAAGTCACTCGATTTACAAGGAGAATATAAATAAGATTAGAAAAAACCCTAACAGCAGCTATTCATGGGCTCAAGCCTAAACTACTAAGAAAAGAAAAATTTACAATAAATCAGAGGCCCACAACAGTATCTAGCCTCAGCGGGACCCCAGTTGCCTTTCTGTTGATCCCGACAACAAGAGACCTCATCAGCATGCGAAGTATAAGTCATACCCAATATGTAATTTGTAAGAGTTTGTAAACAAAAAATTTGTAAATATAATTCTCCCCTCATTTTTTATAATGTGTAAGATTATTTTATACTTATAAGTTACACTCTCAATTTTGATTGTTGATCCTATTTATATTTAACTTTTTTTTTGGTAAAGATTTATATTTAACTATTTACTAGATACTTGAGTTGTTAAATACAAGCAAATCAATAATTAAGATTTGATATCTTAATTAATATAATATATATTATGCGATAGGCTATGTAACGTGAAATTCTATTTAATATTGGTTGAAATTGGATTAGCTAAAATTAAGAATTTATGATCAAATCTATCTTTACCATGCATGCCCAATGAAATACCACAGGAATGAATATATTCCAAGATCCCAAGAAAATGACCAAACATAGCAGCAGATGCCAGACTCGCTTTAATTAATTTAATTCCAAAGTGCAAGTTCGATTAGTGATGAATATGCATTTGGATCATCTCATATGAAAAATGATATCTGGTCATATTATTTGATTATAAGCACTTATTAATAATAAGATAAGAGAAAAAAAATGTATGATTTTTAATTTAGTGATTGTGATTAAATAACATAATAACATAATTACTTTTTCACATGAAAAGAATTCTTTTCTTTTTTTTTTGTTGGTCATAGGCGCAGCCCCCAGAAAAAAAAAACAAAGAAAACCTCGATCCAAATCCGATAAATACTTATTATTATAAAATGACTGCGTTAGACTTCATTTCTAAATTTTCTATTATACTTCTTTCCTTAGATTCTGGATTTTCACGTTGCAGAATGACCGGTTTCCTCGTCACACATGCATGACCTAACAAGTTACTTTAGGATCAAGTACAATTATTATTATTAGTATTATTATTATTATTATAATTATTATTATTATTATTATGCTCACATAATAGTTGCAAAATTTCAAATTAATTAAAAATTGCAAAATATGTATGATGGCATTACAGTTAATCAATTCCAGTTTTGTGAAAATTTGATTTATTTTTTGTTGGCAAAAAAATTGTGGTTTCTTTCTTACTCGAATCATTTCAATTCTAGTGGATTTCAAGTATTTGAAATTTTGAACCAATTACACACCCCAATAATGTACAAGCAATTATATATATATATATATATATATATATATATATAACACCAAGCACAAGCAAGCATCATCCAGATCTTTCCATAGAAACCATGCTTTGCTTACTCTTTTGATGTGGACAGGTACTAACCAAACTAGACTTTGCATGATACCAATCTCTCATTTCCAGGCTATGCTAAGCAATATAAGGCCAAAAATCCCACATTAGATATATATTAAAAAAATATTTAATATGGCACTGAACTTCATCCTCGAATCATTGAGTTTGAACTAATTTAATTTTTCATGTGGACTTGTACCTATCTCTAATGCAATGCATATAAATACATACTAGCTAGTTAATTAGTAGAAAGAAGAAAAAATAAATTGTGCAAATCAATATAATCTGTTTTTTCACATTAAACTTTTGAAAAACAAGTATAATATTTGTGTTACAGATCACACATCTATGAATCTTCTTTGATCTCTCTATATACATTAAAGGATTAAAAAAAAATCAATAGCCATATATATTTATATATATATATATATATATATATATATATATATATATATATATATATATATATCAATATCACTATAGTAGACAGAGAATCCATAAATATGAGAGTGTGGGGTCCATGAAAGCAACAATATTTGATATATATTACACAAATTTAGACTTCTTATTTTTCTCTCTCTCTGCTGTCTGTCTCTCAACCTAAAAATTGCTGTCTTTCGGTCTCTGTACCTATCATCATCACCATCCCTCTTTCTGAAAACTCTGTCACCATGAGAGTGAGAGCCAAACTCCTGTGGTAGCCAGAGCCTCTTAAATCTATGTAGAAAGAGAGAGAGATAGAGAAAGAGAGATTTTGAGCCCTACAAAAAAAATAAAAAAATAAAAACACTTTGCATGTATGATATCATCACTATCATATCCTCTTCATCTTGTTCTTCTACCATGGACTTCACACCTTCTCATCACACTTTCATGTTTCAAACCCATGAAGATCATGACCAGTTCCGTTCAACTAATTCAACCTCTCTCAACACCTTTCCATCTTTACCACCCCAACACTTTCAAGGTCCCTCTCTCACTCTCTCTATAAGTTTCCAAGTTGATATGTTTTGTTGATATATATACATATATATGAATACTAGTGTTAATTTTGTTTATTGCAGGGGTTGGTGCAGCTTTCATGATGAAGCGATCTATGTCATTTTCAGGCATAGAGAGCAAGTGTGATGAAGTGCATGTTGATGATGATTTATCAGATGATGGATCCCAAACTGGGGAGAAGAAGAAGAGGTTGAGTTTGGAACAAGTGAAGGCACTTGAGAAGAGTTTTGAGGTTGGGAACAAGCTTGAACCTGAAAGGAAAATGCAGCTTGCTAAGGCTCTTGGTTTGCAACCAAGACAGATTGCTATATGGTTCCAGAACAGAAGAGCAAGGTGGAAAACCAAGCAACTTGAGAAGGAATATGAAGTTCTCAAGAAACAATTTGAAGCTGTTAAGGCTGATAATGATACCCTTAAGGCTCAGAACCAGAAACTACATGCAGAGGTAATTGTACCATTGCTAGTTTAATTGGATCTTTGAATTTTCAATACTATATTCTCTTTCTAGATATATATCATATTGGTAATGGTTTTGGGAAAAAAAATGAGAACTTATTGGGATCTTGGGGGTTATAATTGAATACCAATTAATTTGGATGTTTTGGTCTTGATTCAAATATTCAATAGTAGAGTGTGACATGATTCCAATTTCAAATGTTTATTCTTGGTTTTTTCTTTTTTTCTTTCACCAAATTTTAATCTTCCCCTCCTTGACTTTTGAGTAGAGTATATCAATGTAAATAGAAGAAGTTTTTCTACCACTGAAGGCTCTTTTAGTCTTTTTAATGCTCTTCCTTATCCGCAATAATGGATGTAGATTGATATTTTCGTGTTTGAAGAAGAAAGAAAGCTCTCCCTTTATTTTTTATTCGAGCTCATTATAAGAAATAAGAGGTTTTTTTTTTTTTTGAGTTTTGGTGTTTCTTGATATTTACCTAGAAAATTAAACTCCATTTCATTGATTGAGTTATGATCCCACATGTCTTAGTGACTTTTTAAAGTGATTGTTTCCGTCATTAACTTTCTGCTTGATTGTTAGTAGTTGATCATTCTCGGGAAGAGTTAGTGTAGACAGTGTCAGAACTCAGAACTTCATACTATAATAGTAATGTGTGTTTTTCTTTTTCCATTGAATATACTGTGTTATAATTATTCCAAGTTGCAATGAAAAAAGACAACTTAGACAATGTTGCATTAATTTGATATGATTAATGCTTAGTCTCCACATGGGACAAAAATAACAAAAACAAGAAGTTATGTGATTACCTTTTAACATTTTTGGTTTTGCAGTTACAAGCTCTAAAGAGCAGGAGTTGCTGTGAAACAAGAACAATTAGCCTCAAAAAAGAAACTGAGGGTTCTTGGAGCAATGGAAGTGAAAACAGCTCAGATATTAATTTGGATCTCTCAAGAACACCAATCATGAATAGTCCTGTATCTTCTCAGAATGGTAAAAGCCTTCTTCTATCCACTACTTCCCTAAAACCCACCAGCATAACCCAACTCCTCCAATGCTCATCATCAAGATCAGATCTTCAAGATGAAAGCTTATGCAACATGTTTCACAACATTGATGAGCAGCAGAATTTTTGGCCCTGGCCTGAGCAGCAACACCATTTTCATTGAACTCCAAAAAAAAAAAGATTTTAAGACATCAATGATTTGAGGGTGAAATTAATTGAGAAGAAGAAAGTTCATTAGACTTAGTTTCAAACTTTTTTCTGCCAGTTTTTTTTAATTTATGTTTTTAATGTAGATTGGTGTATAAAGTTTGAACAAAATCCACTTATGAGGAGGTGGTGGACTTTGAGTAGTGCAACTTCTTTCCCACTAGACTTTTACTATATTGCAAAATATATATATGTTTTTGCTAGGTTGAAATAAAATATTATGAAATATTCTTGTTAATATATACGTGCCCCTAAGTGGATTTCCAGCTCTGGCACATAGTATGGGCCACGAATAAAAATAGGATTTTCTGTTTGCATTTTTTAAGCTTATATTTTATTTCATGTTGGTGCTTTGGAATCATGATATCATATCATGGAAAATTGCAAGAAAAAAAGGGGGGGCTTGGAGAAAGTTCCCCTAATGAAGGGCGTGGCTGACTTCAGTGCTTATGAGAATTAAAAAGATGCAGTGAGTGTGCCATGTCATTTTATGGGTTGAAGAAAAAGCCAAATGTAGATGGGAGTTTACAAAGAGTGATAGGGTTGGGGCCGGAAAGGACGATTCTTAGCACACAATCCAAGAAGTGAGAAGCTAAACAGGTGAGGGGAAAAAAATCTTCATTTAACACAATGAATAAAGGTAGGCATGAGGATAATTTTTGTAGGAAGTTTTTGTATTGTATATTTATAAGGTGACTTAATATTTCTCGTATTATATAGATAAATTTTATTATATAAATATATAGGAAAAAATATTTCTGCAACCACTTTAGATAAGGTTCTCTACCGTTACTCTTTTTAACTAAGTACGACAGGTCGTACATTAAAAGTGCATTTTCTCTCTCCGTCACGTCAGTCGACAGTATTTGAGGAGAGAGAAAAAAAGAGTAACTTTGTTGTTATAACTAAGTACGACCGATTGTACTTAGTTAAAAAGGGATAGATGTAGATAACCTTATCTAAAGTGGCTGTAAAAATACTTTTATCATATATATATATATATATATATATATATATATATATATATAAATGTGTGGAGTTCATATGAGCCTATGTGGAGAGAGCAGAGAGAAAGAGAAAATATGAATTCTACACACTTTTACGTATAATTAGGAAATAAATTTATTTTCTATACATAAGAAACAATAAATTCAAGAAAAAAAATTTCGGATTTGAACCTTAATTTTTCAATGAGCAATTTTATCATGATTGAGCCACGCACTAAAAAAAAAAAAAAAATGAAAGTTACAAGATTTTGTTACAAATTGGAGCACATTTTATGTGAAGGGGATTACGTACTCTATTACTATAAAAAGAAAAAATAATATAAGAGAAAATAATCATTTTTTTATCATATTTAGTAAGGGTTGTGAAAATATTTTTTACAAATTGGTCATCGTGTTGAAATTTCAAAGCAACCTTTTGCCAATATTAATCTGACAACCGAAACTACTTGACTCTGTATCCTGAAGAAGGTCCATGTGACCTACTGCCAAAGCAAAAACATCTCTCTCTCTCTCTCTTGTATATGTATCCTAAATTTTCGCAGTAGCTGTCTGCCAAAAAGTTGATCTAGGGTATGTTCACTTAAAATAGAGTAGACTCCCAATAGAATAAACATTACATAGATTAATGCTACTATTAAAACAATTACATGCAGGACCTGGTGTCAATAATTATTAATTTGAAGTAGCAGTTTCACCAAACTATTATAATCAACAGTTATGGTCAATTTCTACGTTCTAACAAGACTCATTGTTGGAGAGAACTTATCATAGCTGTAAATAGCCAAGACTTAGATAAAGTACTAGGAGTTATATATACAAAATTAAATTATAGTTGTAATAAAGGGTAGATCATTTTATACAGATGTAATTACACATTCAATCTTGACATCGTTGATTTTTTTATATAATTTTAATTTATTAGATATTTGAACCGTTAAATACAAGAAAAATAATTATCAAGATTTGATATAATTAAGAATTTTTTATTTTTATATAACGGGACCCCTCGTATTGGCCAAAGAAGAGTGGATCCCTATTGAATTTTTACACTCTGATTTTGCAAACTTAATTCATCCGATTATTACATGGATGAGCTCAATTTGAAATATGAACCATAAAAGAAAAATATCAATTAAACAGATGATCACAATAATACCAGTTACAATATCTATTATCCAAAGAGAAACCCTTCCAGCAGTATCAGCTATTTATCCCACTTTTATCTCCATTTGATTAAGTAGCCATGCTAAAGAAATAAACAAGCATAACTAATTATAAAATGATATCCTTCTCTTGGTGTAACAACTGTTGGGAAATTCGTTCCCTCAAACTCCAATGTCAAGCGGGTCCAGGGGAAGCCCGTGGCGGGGGCCACCACCAATAAGCTAAGGCTACATCAACCGTAGCAAGTGGATCCGACACCATGTCTCAACCCAAAACCTTAAGGCATTGGGTTCATGGGTCCTTTCACTTATATACTCTTCACTTAGCTCATTACCAACCAATGTGGGACTCATCACACTTGATATCCCAACAACAACATCATGTCCCGGTAATAAATATTTAAGCCTGAAAGAAATAAATTATGCTTTTTTTTTTCTTCTTCTATCGTAAGTCTGATCTCCACATCACCTCTAGCGACAAATCAAGGTTTAGAAACCAATAACACAATTATTCCTTATCATGACATTTATATATGGAAAATTATGCGCAACCAGGATTTGTTTTGGGCCAATAATAAGAACTTGTGAGTCTTTTGCTCTTTTACACGGTATCATCTCTCTCTCAGAGAACAAAAAATATTACAAGACACTCGGACAGCTATTGGTGTAACTAGTATCATGCATGTGGTTGTATTAAAAAAAAAAAAGTATCATGCATATGGATAGGAAATGTACAAATCCTGATGTTACAAACCTCCAATAGCTAGGAAATGCTAATTTATTTAAGAGATTGGGGCCATTTGAACTGACACATAAATGGTAGAGAAACCATTAATCAATTATTCTATATATCCTACAATATTATGTGAGCATTAATGGGTTGCGTGTCTGATGCAGCCATTCACGAAAACATGTGCAGAAATTGTAATGTGTGGTTGTGTAATCAATATTCACAGACAAGATACCATTGATTAGTAAATTGTCTTTCTTAATTTGGGTCGGTGTTAAATTTCAATAAGGAAACGGGAAAACATGTTTGTGACAATTTTCTAGTTTCCTATCATGTCACATTGATTAATGTCAAGTTCAAGGTCATGTGTGTAAATAAATATATTTTCGGTTAATTCTGCACGAAAATTATAGTTCTCACTTCTCATAGTAACCTCACTGAAAATGGCAAATTATATAGAAGCTTATATACCTTTATCAAGGAGGATTGCAATGTTTAGTTGTATTTGCTTGTAAGCAATTTTCTTCTTGCTTTTATAAAAATTGCCAGTGGAATTGTCTATGAAATATAAATTACACTTTCAGAAAAGTAAAATCTAGATCCAAATAATATATATAAAGAGATACTATTAATGTGACAAGTGTTACGACAGTATCACAGAAGATATTCCGAAAATGAAGTGGGAATTCTTTTTTCTTTATTGAAGATTAAAGAAAGACTTCTGATTATGAAATTTGGTCAACTACTCTATTATATATTTAATACACTTTTCATTGATAAAGTGTCATTATTGCTTCTTCATGAAGAACAGAATCAACACTCGTGGAATTGTTTGGTACAAGGTATTTTTAAAGATGATTGGTAAAGTTACATTGGTAAACGTGAATTGTCATGTTTGGTACAAGTTAACAATATGTCTTTTCCGAATACCTTCGTTTACCGATAATCGAATTTACAAAGAAAACTAAAATTTCAAATTACCAAAAAATATGTGGTAATTGAGGAATCCAACATCGAGAAAGCTGAAAAGCAAATTGTGGGACAAAAATACCCCAACTCACATGTTTTCGTAATAGCAATGAGCTATGTAGCACCGATACAACACGCGACACGTGACACGACACGACACGACACTCCGACACGTCAATCCAAAAAAATTATGGATTTCGACACGTTGGGACACGTTTTAATATTAAATAATATTTTTAATTTATATAGTGATATTTCATTTAATATTTAATAATTTAACAAAAAAATGAAACTAAATTAATAATACCCATCAACACGTTATAAATAGAAACTTTAATAAAAAAATAAGAACTGGGATGAGAGAGATATAATATCAGATAGAGAGATCAAATCATATTAGAGAGATCAGAGAGAAGAAGATACAACAAGAGCGTGATAGGAGTTGACAACAATGATGCTGGAGATGATCTCTTATCTACTTAAGGAAAAAAAAGACAAAAAGATAAAATTGATATGATCAGGTGAAAGCTTTATTAATATATTTTAACTTTAAAAACAAAAAATTAAAAAAAAAAATTACGAAAATGCCATTTGACCGTGTCGGACACGGTCAAATTCGCGTGTCGGAATGGTCAACGTGTCGGAAAAAGTCAACCGCGTGTCCGACACCGTGTCGGAGTGTGTCGCCGTGTCGGACCCGACTCTTCCTGTTTTTACAAGTGTCCGTGCTTCCTTGGCAATGAGTCTCCATTTGAGTCTCCAACAATTATTCCAATAATTACATATCCGATTTGACCTATAGACAAATACGCAAGCATATGTTTCATGCTTGTTTGGGTAATAGCAATGAGATTCTCCAATATCGCTAAGAATAGCTAGGATATATATATATATATATATATATATATATATATATATATATATATATATATATATATATGATATGTTATTATTTTATATTAAATAATTATTAATGTTAGATAAATATTTTAAATGATATGTCAATTTTAATATTAATTTATTAACTTAGTTTATACAAATCATAAAGACTAAATCTACACAATAACTCTCGTCTAGCTCTTCAGCTATATATGGTTGTTGATGAAATTTAAAAGGAAGCTGGATAGAAATGCTTGTCCGGAGATTATCAAAATTTATTTGTTGGTTTAGCAATTAAAAAATAGGTTTAAAGTTTCTCAATAGTATATGAGATAAAATTATCTCTTATGCCTATATAAAAGTATGTGAAACTCATGTGAAATTATGTAAAAAAAAAAAAAAAAAAAACTAGACCTCATACACTTATATATATATATATATATATATATATATATATATATATATATATATATATATATA